TCAATGTGAAAATGTCATTGTTTTACATATGATAGCAAGCTTAATTCAAAATGATTTACCCTACATATTGTCCATATTACAATTCAGAATCACTGATGTTTTGCTTGACGTATCATTTATATACACGACATTTGATATTGATGTTTATTCATAGAGTTGCACCACAAAGTATAGACTCGGAGTTACACGAACAAGCACGCCGGTTATAGTTAGAAACACCAAACCGATGGATGATGGAGAAGGGAGGAGGTAGGAGGGAGGATGGACGATGGAAAAGGGAGGAGGAACAATGGATAAAAGTCGTGGGAAGATTTGAGATGTGGAGGGTGGAGGGGCGATGGTCGAGGGAGGAGCAGGGAAGGATGAGGGGTGATAGACAAGGAGGGATGGAGGATGGAGAATGGGGGAGGGAGGAGGGGTCATGGACGAGGAAGGGGGGAAGTTATGTGATGAAGGGGGACAATGCGAGGAGGAGAGTCGTAGCAACCGGAAACGGAGGATAAGGAGTGTACGATTTCCCAACAGATATAAATAGAAAACAAAAAAACAAATGGCGGGAGGAAAGATTTGCAATGGTGGAGGGAGGAGGGGCGATGAAGAAGGAAGGAGAGACAGAAGGCGGTGAGCAGCGACGACAGGGGAAGGAGGCGGGACGATAGCCTGAGATATAAAAAGATGGTGAGTGGGAGGATGGGTAGTGGAGGACGGAGGTAGGAGGATAAGGTATGGAGGAGGGGACCGTAGTAGTAGCAGAGGTGCTGCCAAAAGGAGTAATAATAAACGAGGTGGTAGTGCTTGCGTAGCAGTAGTAGTAATAACAGTAACTAGAAGTAGTTGTAGCAATAGTTGTTACGATCCTGACTGTGTTGTTCAATTGAACTTGAAATGAAATAACTTGGAAAGAGAAATAGACAAAGGAAGAAGAATAAATAAGAATGAAAGAAAATAAGATGTACACGAGCAAATACCAATGCCAAATCCCTTTCCCACTCGCAACCATCTCCAACCACCTTGAACTCCCCCAACTTCTTCTTAACAATAATAATAATAACATTGAAAGAATTAACCAGAATCAATGTCCGAATCTCACTAGCAGCAACTCTAGAGGTCCACCATGGCCACATACTACACCTCCTTCCTTCTCCTAGTAGGTGGGTATGGCGGACTTGTGGAGCCCAGCTTCGATGTTCAAAGGACAACGCCAAGCTTATATGCTCCCCTTACTCATGCAGCCATGCCTATCTCTGCCCCAAAGTCTTCCTTGATGTACACCCCGTATGGGGCCTTCTAGGTGTAGCATCCACGAAGAAGATGTCGTCCACCATAGCCATGTAAGTACCCCCATCACTTTCCTCCTCCTACAACCCCGGAGTCTTCTCCTGGTCCGCTAAACCATAGCTGAGTGGAGGGGTCAAACCGCCTTCTTCCTCACCATCGTTGGGCAAACCAAGCACTTGCTTCATCAGCTGCATGACACCAAACTTGCACACTCCATAATGATTCGCTCCTCTTGAAGTTATATTGGGCAGCTGTCTCCTTAGGTGGTGACTTCCACACACACACACAAACATAAACACACATAAGCAGGTCATTACATAGTGTTAGTACTACTACTAGTAGTAATAATAGTAGTAGTAGTATTAGTAGTAATTGAAGCAGTAGAAAAAGTAGTAGTAGCAGCAACAACAGTACTCCTACTTGTACCGAAAGTAGTAATAGTAGTAGTAGAAGCGGAACTGGTTGTAGTAACTATACTACTACTGTAGCAGTTCCAGAAGTAGTTACAGTACTACTAGTACTACAAGTAGCAACATTATCAACACTAGCAATAGTAGTAGTAGTAGT